TATTTATTTCTTAAACTACTCAACTACTGATTAATCTTTTATTGCCTGGTCTTGTTTTGTTAATCTGCTGATGTGATCATGGCAATGACCACAAATGTGCAATTTCTTAATATTCAAAGTAAATATTAGAGGCAGAATAGCCAAAGACTAAATAAAGCCTTACTGGTAATGGTGATAAATTTTACAATAGGATGGCACCCATCAGGGACTTGGTTCCCAACACATGATCCCCACTCTAAAAACAAAAACTACCCCAATGATAAAACTTTCCATACCATGGGACTTGGCACCCAGGCCCTCTCATCTACTGACTGCTGTATTTCCTGAACTGGTGCCGACTCCAACATTGTAAAGAATACAAGCGAAATATTTGTTCACAGCAATATTTTCAAATGCTTATACAAGGCATACTATGTTGAAATATTTTCTGAGAAATATAGTGTACATTAATATCCTAAAGACTACTTTAATTCTTTAACAAAGTGAATATACCCCTCAGTCTAAACTAACCAACAGCCATTTGAACCAAGGTACTTTTGGAAACCTATATTATCTTCATTTTTGGCTTTAACTCTTTCCCTGCATTGACCATCTTATACATTGAAAAGGTAAATCCTGTTAAATAAGGACCTTAAATTTTTCTTATTACAGTGCAGTCATCATACATTATGTAGGTAGGTATACACCCTATGGACTTATTCTTTGAAATCTATGTAGGACCTTTTCTTCATTTTCCTGCAAATAAGAGGCTGCTGCAGCCTAAAACACAATCTTGCACTATATATGGTGTCTATTTCCCTTTATCTTTGTGTCACACTTGGTAACCTACACTCAGTAGATATGCAACAATGAACTGTGCATTTTTAATGAACCAAAAATTTAACTCCAACTTAATAACTTTTGGAAATAAAAATTGTGTATATATTATTTCCAGTCTGACAAAGTTCCCACACACATTAAGAATTTGTTTTCTACAGTCTAGTATGGAAAGTTTGGCAGATACACATCCTGGTTGCACACCTGAGTGATTTACAGTGATAGAATAATAATTTAACCGATATGGAACGAGGAATTAAATAATTTAAGGGACTCAAGCATTTTGTTATCTGAAAAGTGCAGTATGTGCACATTTGGTAACCGTTGCACACTGCGCACTTTTTTTAGGTGTATATCCAAAATCTCTTCAGAAAGTGCCATACTTTCCACACTGGTTTACATTGATGTCTGGATTCCCAAAGGTACCAAAACCCATAAGGGTGTAGATTGGAGTAATACTTTATCAAAAGGAATGTAATAACTTAATTGTCAAATTTCTAAAGCTTCAGGATTGCCCTGGCATTTTGGCATCACACACAGAAGCCATAAAATCTATCTTGCCTTTTGGAAGTGGTTTGTTAGCTTTTGCACATGTACCAGAAGCACGGAAGTCATATTAATCCCTTAACACTGGACCCCTCATGGGTTGCCATTCCTCTCAAAATAGTGGCTCAATATTATACATTCAACTTATGCTGCATTCGGAACTCCTCATCCTGCTTGTCCAGAGAAGTTGGATAAGAGGTTTTGACCGTTCGGAACCTCTACTTTCTTATCCAGGATAAGTTGTCCATCTTGCCCTCCTGCAAAGCTGGGCGAGCAAGAAGAGATGACATCACAATAGTATTTGTATGTAAACACTGACAGTTGCAAGCAACCACAAGATATTGATAGATAATCTTATAGCCCTATATTGATGTTATCAAAGGATATTTTTGTTTGTAGTTGCAGGTAATTTAAATATGCATCAAAGGACTTACACAACCTATGGAGCGTGTAAAATAAAGACACTAGAGTGAACGTTTACTTTCGAGCTGGTTGCATTCTGGGCAGAAAGGGTCTTGGAGGTTCCGAACAGGGTCTCATTGTCCTGCTAACAATTTACCGTTAAACGACATTCAAATATTGAAATCTATTCTAAATTCTCTAATAATGCAGACAGTATATCAAACAATACTAGTAGCTAAATAAAGAAATTCTTAAAATTCGGTCGCGCCTTGAGCTGGATAGGAAAATAAATTCCACAAACAGGACGACACAAGGATTGAAAAGACACGAATATTACCCTTAATTCGATCTTCTAACACCTTCTAACACCCCTAAATACACTTCCAAATGACATGATATAACTACAATATCTTCACCAGTTCCAAAATCACAGAAATAAACACAATAAACGATTCAAAATACAACTAAGCTTCAACCACGTTGCCTGAAGACCGATGTAAACAACACCTTCCTCTCTACACAATCCTCATTTCTCTAACAATTCACCAACATTTCGGCCTTTTCCAACCCTTTCCTCCGTCGCGCAGACATCCTCCTCCATCATTATCACAAATTCACCGCATACTCTACCGTAATAAGGCCAAAATTCGCGAAAATTCACTCCAAAGCGTCGAGTTCTGGTCTTTACCTCAGGGATCCTCGTGTGGAAAGGAGAGAGCAATCCGATTCGCCCGGA